ATAGCAGCCAGTTTTCCTTAAAGGGTAATATGTCTACCAGTACACAGATGCCCCCAGGGCTTAAGGTACAAGCTATATTCACAGGACAAAGACATCACCCAGTAACCCACAAGAAAGAAGGAATACACACTGTGAGAGATGTCAGAGTCAGTATATAGGTGAGGGGTCAGGGTAGGCAGTAATCCAAGAGATCAGTTGTTATCCAAGCAGGGATCAGGCCAGGTGGCAATCCAAGAGAGTAGTAATTATCCAAGCAGGGGTTAGGACAGGTTGCAATCCAAGAGAATAGATGTTATTCAAGCAGGGATCAGGCCAGGTAACAATCCGGGAGAGTAGTTATTATGCAAGCAGAGGTCAGGACAGGTGGCAATCGGTGAGGGTGGTCGTTATCCAAGCGGGGGTCAGGACAGGTGGCAATCAAAGAGCGTAGTCATTTTTCAAGCAGGGGTCAGGCAGGTGACAATCCAAGAGTGAGGTCATTATCCAGGCAGGGGTCAGGCCAGTTGGGAATCCAAGAGAGTAGTCATTATCCAAGCAGGGGTCTGGCTAGGTGGCAATCCAACAAAGTAGTCCTTATTCAAACAGTAGTCAGGGCAGATGGCGAACCAAGAGAGTAGTCATGATCCAGGATGGGGTCAGGGCAGACAGCAATCCCAGAGAGTAGTTGTTGTCCATGTGAGGGTTATGGCAGGTGGCAATCCAAGCTAGTAGTCATATCTGAAGCAATGGTCAGGGCAGGTGGCAAATTCAGGGAGAGGTCATTATCCATGCAGGTGTCAGGGCAGGCAGGATTTCAAGCAAGTAGTCGTATCAGAAGCAAGGGTCAATAACAGGGTGATCAGATCAGGCAAGGCAGAGCACAGGTGCATGGGTCAGGAGCCAGGAACCTGAATGCTATCACAAAACCGGCCCTGGGCTTGTGATGTTCAAATTAAGCGCCTGAGAGACACAGCCAGTCAGCCGCGAGGAGGCAGGGCAGCTCAGGCCGACAGCTGCAACCGACCAGAACGCGGGTTGTTGGGCAGGCCATCAGCACCTGGGGGAGAGACAAGCGGAGCGGAGTGGCTGGACAGGAAAAGGTAGGAAATGTTTAGGTGTGCTGTGTGAATGGGAACACATAACAAATATTTATTGGGGGGTCTGCCAAAGTGGAACTACACAAAAACTTTATTACCTTGTGATATATAATATTTTTTGTATACATTTTTTATTTAATGAAAAAATATTTATTACAGTGGGCGATGTTCTTTTTAGCCTCTGTGCACGGACTAATTAAGATGTCCTGTCTGTGCTGGGAGAGAGGAGGGAGGGA